CGACGACGATGACGACTGCGGCGCCGCCGACAACGACGACGCCGACGACGACGCCGACGACACCAACGACGACGGCACCGACGACGACGACGACGAAGGCGCCGATGCCGACGACGACTCCGCCGACGACACCAACGGCGGCGGCGACGCCGACGACGCCAACGACGCCGACGACGACGACGACGCCGACGACGCCCACGACGCCGACGACTACGACGCGGACGACGCCGACCGGCGACGACGACGGTTGAACCGAACGGGCGGACCCTCACCGAAGAGGTCCTCCCGAAGCCGCCCAACAGGGTCTGCCGAAGCATATCTGCCGACGCGGACCTGCAATTCGCGCGCTCGGGGTAGCCCCTGGAGGACCCCGGACGACAAGTACCCGGCGGATCCCCGGCGGAATCCCGGTCAACTCCCCCAGGGCGCTCCAGGAGAGGACCAGCACGGCTCGGAGACGCCCCAGTCGCCGAAAGATCGCCCCATGTCGGTCACGATGGTCTCCCGACGGCCTCAGAAGCCGCCGAAGAAGCCCCGAGAGAGACACAAGAGGCCAAAGACGTCCCATTCCTTTGGGAAAACATATATGCTTAACAGATTCACCCTTGGGCGTTTCACAGCGTCCAAGATTGCCCACAAAGCCTCCAAGATCGGCCCAAAAAGGTCCAACAGGGCTTCCATTCGGGCCCAAGACGGCCCATTAGGACAGCGCGAAATTCGGCACGCACAACACTAGCAAATGCACAAAGAAACACCCAGACACTCCCAGGTGTCGCACATCTCCGCCCAAGCGGCCTCCGGGCCCAAAAATGTATCTCCCCCCCCCTCCCCCGGACGCGTGGTTCCAGATGAATACCAAAGCTCTTACAACATAGCTTGCATCACATACCTAACACCACGTTGCCCCACATAGATTGCACGATATAGCTTACACCACCCAGAGTGCACCACATAGATTGCAAGACAACCACTGTTTGGGGCCCACGCTGACTGGCATGTTTTTCAATGCACTAATTACATGCAGCGCGACTACGTTGCTTGCAAGGGTCGCCCTGCTGGAGAACCGCGGCATGCGGGCGGCATGCTCTCATGGCCCTGGCCAGGCCTGACGTTGCAGTATCTGGGGCAAAATGCCACTATGCCTACGAAGCACCGCCATTGCGGGACGCCTGGGCAGGAACGGGGAGAGGAGCGCGCAAGTCCGACGCGCGCAAGCTTCAGCGCGCAGAGCTGTTGCCCGCCACCGGCCGCGGGCAGCGTCGCAGCCCTGGGCGGGGGCCAACGACGCGCACGACGGCCCAAAGTCGATCCTACGTGTTCAACGACCAGAGCTTGAACTGGTGCCTGTGTCGCTGGAGCTTTCGGAAGTATCAGAGCTGGACTCTGCGTCTCGGCCTCGTGAGTGCACCGTGTTCCGCATATCGATGCATTCGGCCAAAAAGTAATTCGCCACATGCCGGCCCATTGTTCGCACCATGTGTTGATCCGCCACCACGCCTCTGGCGCGCAGTCGCTAAGCCTGGTTTTTGTCATGGCCAAGCAAGCATCCTACTTGGAAAACAAGAAAGGATACGCCTCCCCTCCCGTTTCCGAGCGCTCTCGGGCGCGCGGCATTCGCAATCGGAGCGAGATGGCGGGACAGCCGAAGGCTACTAGATACCTCGCCGCCCAAGAGAAGGTCATCTCGCAGATGCTGGCGTTTGCGCCGTCAACAAGCTCCTTGGCGCCTGGTGCGACGGGGCAGCAGTGCTGCTTACACCATGGGTCGACATGGCCTCTGGCGTGAAATCTGTCCACCACGCATACGACGCACGGGCGTGCCAACAAGGCGGCTAAGGCAGACTGGTCCTTTCTATTGGTGCTGCATTGGCGGAGATGACAGGCGTCGTCGTGGATGACGACGTTCAAGGCTGGGAATCGCTTCTTCAAGCGGGCCAGAAAGCAATACCGCTGCGCCAAGCTTTCAACGCCGAAGAACTCCTCCACGTCGATAATGTGCCCGCTGGGCGAGCACGCGACAAGGAACCCCCCAGTTCGCCGCACTGCAAGAGAGGCGGACTCCAGCTTGCCCCGCTTCCCTCCCTTGGCAAAGCTCTTGTGGGTGTTGCACGAAATCTGCTCCAGCTCCCTGAGTGATGCGTCGACCGCCGGAGGTGCCTCCGCGGGGTCTACGGGCTGCGCAGGCTGCGCAGCCGTCGCACGCGCGGCTCGGCCGGCGCTGCCATCGCCGCGGCTCGCCGAAGAGCGCGCCCCATCGCCGCGGCTCGCAGCAGTGCGCAGGCCAGCGGGCAACCTGCGCTTTTTCTGCGGCCTCGCAGGCAAACTCTGGACGGGCGCGGCAAAAGCAGACTCCTGTGGCGCATCATCTGCTGGCGGGCCAGATCTTGCCAGGGGTGGCCCAAGTGGTGCTTTGCGTTTTCTCAAGCGGAACTGGGGCAGCTTCGCCTTGAGTTTGTCCGGCGCCCCCTCGCTGGCACGGGACTCGGCCGCGTCTTTCGCGGCATCTGCGGCGCGCCTGACCAAAGTGGACTGGGCGGCGCCCCAGCAGCCCTCAATATCGTCAACCACTCGAACTGCTCCGACGCCTTGCCGCTGCGACGTCGCACAGAGCACGTCGTCCAGCGCGCCCCCCAAGCATTCGCGGCGCCGGACAAGAAAAACGCCTGCGTCTTTGGCGCCCTCAAACGGCACGGGCTTCTCCAGCAAGCGGGCGCGGCAAGTGCACCAGCGCTCGCGCTGGCCCCTCGTGGGGGCAGAGCAGGGGTGCAAGCACACCTTGCCGAGATTTGGATCGCGGGCGCAGCCTCCATACATCGGCCCGCAACACTTCCGGGTGAGCTTGACGACCTTAGAAACCTCCCCGTCGATCTCGGCGCGCCGGCGCCGCAAGTTCCGCAAGTGGGTCTGCAACTGCGGCCAAATAGCTTGGATGACGTGCTCGACAGGCGCCGACAACCGGAGCTGCAAATACGACCTGGACCCCTTCATTTCTGCCAGACGCGTCAACAGCCGCATCAGGAACCACGCCTTCATCAGCTCCATGTGCAATCTCTTTTTGGAGATGCCCGATTAAGGCCGCCAATGAACATCAGCCTGGCCCCAAAATGAAGCGCGCTGATGAGTAAGGCGTCGTGAAAACTGTCTGAACCAACTCTGCGCAATGCCAAACGTTGGGGAAATCATGAAAGGGCCCGGCCAATCATCACGCATCCACACATATCTGTGGACGCCCTTCTTCAAAGAAATAAAGTTGGCCCACTGGTGCTTCCCTCGCGAAATGCACCCCGCCGCCTGGCACCTGACTGGGACATGCGTGAACTCACGGGGCCCATCTGCGTCAAGAACAAGCGCGGTGTCGGCTTTATTGCGGCACTCTTGCCCATGCGAGCACGCTAGGCAGCGTCGCCCCGGGGGCGCGACCTCTCCGACGCTGATGCGCGCCACCACCGCAGCCGCGAGTCTCTGTATATCTGCGGGACCGAGCAGCCCCGCCACGTCGGCTGACTCCAACGCTTGTTCCACAACGGCCGGATCCATCAGTTGCGCGGCCACGCGCGGGGCAGGCCGCGCAACTTGAGCCCAAAACTACGGAACGTCGGAAATGAGTCGGCGGCTCGGGGGCGACATAGAGGCGGTCTGAACTCGAATGCCCCCCCAGGAGGCTCTGCCCAAAAGGCTCGTACTTGTTCTCAAAGAACTGACAAGGGCCCGGACTGCGCTGGCCAGCCCTCCCCGGCTTGCTGCCCGCGTTGCGCGGGCTTGTCTGGGTTGACTCCTCTTGCTTCCCTACCTGTCTCTCGCCCCCTCGGTTTCCCATCCGCGCGTCTCTCGCCCCCATGTCTCCCCAAATGTCTCTTGCCACTCTGGCCCCCCAATTGTCTACTGTCCTTTCGTTTTCACAGTTTCGCTTAGCGCATTGCTGCTCTGTGCAGCGCATAGCTTTGCATTCCGTCGCGTTGCTCTGAACTGCGTTGATCTGGCGCGGGAGATAGAATAACCAAATCGGGGTCGCGCCGCTTTCACTTGCGCGGTGCTCGGGGAACGCAACGGGAGGGGGGCATAGATGGATATGTTTCCCTGTCCTCAAACGAATCCTCGGCCACCGTTTAGCTCGCCCGGCCCGCGAGGCCAAGGGGCTCCGGCATGCCCGCGCCGTGCTCACATGGCTCCGCAAAGGCCAGCCTCGGCCGTCTGCGGAGCAAAATGGCGCCGGGCCAAATGGGCGCCGCCCAGCGCGAGGGACGCGCGAGGGGGCGACGCCGGTGGGGAAAGGGGGAGGGCGCGAGAAGCAAAATGCCTGAAAGCATCGCGAGGGGAAGACTGTAGCCCGGCATGGACCCGCCGCGCCGAAGTAGCCCTGGGCGACGGGGGGTCGCGAACGCAGGTCCGGCCGACGGGGAAACGCCGCCAGCAAACCGAGCGGGGCACGCCCACGTCGCGAGAGCGGCAAGCGCGGGCCGCGCGCCCGCGCCCGCGCGACGAAGACCCTGGGCAACGTCAGTCACCACCCAATGCCTTGCGCTCGCCCCGCTGGCCTCACGTCGCGGCCTGTGAGCCTGCAGCCTGCGCCTGCGCATGTCCAGCAAGCGATTGTAGCGCATCTAAGAGAGCTTGAAAAACTGTTTAACCACATGCGAACGTGCCGTTAGAAATTCACTGGCAGCGTCTTAAGCGACTCCATCGCGAGACCTGTTGCATGGCGGGGCCCGCGATAAAGCGCAATGCCTCATCTTCTCCAAGCGATTGCCCGAAGCGGCGCACTGTGGCCACAGCCGGGGGAGATGCCGCACAACCTGATTTGTTCAAAATCGCGCCCCAATGGGCCTGGGAGAGGTGCCGCGCGGCGCAGGGCGATCAAAATCGTCGCCCGACGGCCCGGCGGGCGACCTGGAGTCGCGCTGCTGGCCGAATACGGCCGCACCAGCCCCCCGCCGGTTCGAGCGCAGCGCGTCTGCTTGACTAGCGTTCGACACGCGGGGTGCCAAGAAGCGAGCGGATAGTTACCCGCTTGCCGCGGGGGCCCGGGCCCGCTGCAAGAGGACCCTCACCTCGCGGCCTGTGAGCCTGCACATGTCCACCAGGAGATTGCGCCACTTGACCATGGCCTCGCGCCCGGCCTCCGCCGACGGCGGCGCGTGCCACTTAACCCTGGATCTCGGCGCGCCCGCCTCGAGCAAGTCGCCGACAGGGTGCTGCGCCAAGGCAGCGGCCATCACGTCCTCCCAGACCTTCTGGGGCAAGCCCAAATGCTTCTTCCTGCCGTTCACCATAACTTCGCGGCGCAAGTTCCCGCAAATCTCGGAGCACTTGACCACCCCCCGCTGCGACGTGTAGCGGACGATGTCGCGGTCCGTCTTCCACGCCTCGCCCTGGCCCTCGGCGAACGCCTGCACTGTGCCGCCGCGGGGGCCGCAGCCTCTGGACATGGGCGCGCCGTCTGCGACCTGCTTGGGCTCGGTGGCAGAAGGCGGCGCCTCCGCATGCCGCGGGCAAACTGGCGCGCTCGGCAGGGCTCCCGGCGGCGCAGGCAGGGCGGATGGCGGCGCCCCCTGGGTCTGCGCGCCTGGCGCGATCGCCTGGCCCTCCAGCGGCGCAAACAGGGCGGCCCCGCGGGCGCCGCGATCGGCGCCCCCGGCGACAGCATCCGCCCGGCTGGCGGCTGGTCGCGAACTCTGCGCCGAGGCCGGCGGCTCGGCGCTCTGCGCGCGGGCTCGCTTCGTTGGCGGCCGCGCCGTTGCGGCTGGCGCCCCAGACGGCTCTGCGCCGGCGAGCCCCGACGGCTGCCCCTGCTCCAGGCCGAACCCAGCGGGCAGGCCAGCCAAGAACTCGGCGCTCTGCTGGCTCATGCGCAGAACCGACTTCGCGCGCCTCTCATCGGTGGCGTCAAGCCACTGCTCACGCGCGCCCTCGAGCAAGGCCAGCAAGCGCTTGGCGCGCTCCACCTGCCCCCGCGCGGCGACCAGCGCACCTGCGGGGTCTGGCCTGGCAGCGGGCGCCTGTCCGACAAATGCGTCGACAGCGAACAGCAGGCCAGTCAATACGCTCGCTTTCCAAGGGGCAATCCCCCACCGCGCGCTGGTCACATTGTCCCCTTCCTCCACGGCCAAAGACGCTTTGACCGAGGCGAAGGTACTGACGCTGCGCATGAGTTTCGCGGCAGCCTCGGACAACGTCACAGTCCCCCCCGCCTTCGAGAAGAGAGTGGGAACTCGCTCCGCCGCTGCCGTGATCTCGTGCGATGGAGGCAACGGGATGCTCTTGTTGCCGATGCGATACTCGGCCACCCACTCGTCGTTGGCCCAACAATACCGCAGGCGACTGGGCACGCCGTCCGGCAACGCGAAGAGGAACCCCTCCGCGTCGGGGCGGCACCGAACGGAGCGGTCCCCGCCTTCTTCTGGCGCCTCGTCCGCATGGGGGCGCGCCCTGGGCAACTGCGCCTGCCCCGCAGCCTCGGGGCCCCCGATGAGCTCTTCCATGCCGGACAGCACGGCCATGTCCACGTCCAGCCCTGCCCACGCCTGTGAATGCAAACTGCTATTCTGTTTGGTTTCTTATCACTTTTTTTTTTATATAAAAAAAAAAAAAAAAAAAAAAAAAAAAAAAAAAAAAAAAAAAAAAAAAAAAAAAAAAAAAAAAAAAAAAAAAAAAAAAAAAAAAAAAAACGCTGGCGCGCCTGGCCACGATGTCCCGGAGAAGACCAGGCAATCCAAGACGGCGCCCCAGAGACCCAGGGGAACCCACAACGCGGCTTTCCAACGTTGCCCCGGATGGCCCCACGGCGCGGTGCGATTTGGGATTTCCCAAGTCGCGCCCCGCCGACTCGCTGCGGGCCAAAAACTGAAGGGAGGTTCAACATGTGTTAAAGTTTGCCAGAATCGCGCCCAGGGGCCGTGGTTCTCGGGCAGCTCATACGCATCTGGAAGGGCACTGCGAGGAGGCTCTGGGCGGCCCGTGTAGAGGAACACGCGCTCTTTGGTAGCCCCCGCGCGGCTGCCCAGAGCGCCCCTGTCCATCGGGGCGGCGATCTCTAGGTGGATGTTGCCCAGCCAGGCGAGGGACACCGCTGGCGTGAGACCTCCCCCGTGGGATCCTGAGCTCTTTGTTGCGCGCGGGCACTCCACCCACTGCAGCAGGCGATTGAGGGTCCCAGCGTGCTCGTTGACCGCCTGGGCATTGGCGGACGAGCGATGGGAGTCGTCGCGGATCAAGCCGAAGGCGGCGAAAGGCGCATATACCTCATCGGCGTTCGCGAGCCGGCCAAGGTGGACGCCCCCGCGCAGCGAGGGAAGCCCGACATCTTCAGCATTATCAAGCTGCTGCGCATCACCGCTCATCTTCTCGAAGAACTTGGCAGGGGTGAGCGAGGCCAAACACTGCGCTGGCCACGCGAGGGGGGGCCTTCGGCTGCGCGCCCGGACCACCGACGTCCACTGGGCGGTTGCGCGCCCCCAACTCCTCGGCGACATTGGCCTCGAGCTTGGCGAGGATCTTCGCGCCCAGGCAGTCGCCGATCTCCTTCGCCAACTTGGTCATCTGAGACTTTCGTGTCTCAGGAAAGTTGGTTAGGACAGCGACAACGTCGAGCTGCGTGGGCGACCCTGGGAACGTCTTGACGTTGGCCCCATTGGTCAGCGGCGCCATGGCTGCAATGAGCGTGACCCCCCGTCACCAGCGGGCGCGTCGAAGAGCGGGCGGCATGGGACAGGACGAACTGGTAGCCGACCTTTCCATATATGAGCTCTGGGTCGAAGTTCTCGTCTATGTATGCCCAAGCGGACTCCATTTCCTTCTTGAACTGCTGGGACTGCGCGGAAATCGCTGAAATCTAGGCGTGGCAAGAACAAGCACGAACAGCCGATCACCGATGGCTGCTGGCGGAGCGCGCCAGACGACGAAGGAATCACAATCGTTGAGCCGCAATGTTTACGGACGACATGGAGCCGTGACCACCCTTGCACTCATCCCATCTCTGTGCCTCTCCGGTCTGGGCGACTCGTTAGTCCCAGGCGAATCGCACGCATCTCCCATGCAGACGTGGTACTTGCATCGCCCTCAGTCAGTTGCGCCAGAGCTGCATCGCCGATGCGTCTGTCTGCCGCGGAAATTGCACCGCCATCGCATTCATCAGGAACGCCAGAGAAGCATCGCCGATGCATCTGTCGCATTCTCTGGCGCACCGCCGTTGCCTTCGACCAACGTACGCATCGCCTACGCAGCTAACGTCCACGAGTGAAGTGCCTGTGCACGCAAGCACCAGGCTAGGCACGGGACGCGAAGATTTTCACTGCGTTCCACATGTCTGCGCACGCCGTTTTCCGACGTTTCCGACAGAGAGCAGAACGTTCGACATCTCTCACGGCCCCGGGGCCTGAAGAGGGCCCAGAAGAGGGAGATACTTGTCTATAGTGGCTCGTTTTGGGGTTGCGTTTGGCGCCCCGGGGGAGTTCCGACGATTTTCAATGCGTTCCACGCGTCTGCGCACGCCGTTTCCCGATGTTTCCCGCAAGGAACAGCACGGTCGTCACCTCCACGGCCCCGCGGCCTGAAGAGGGCCCAGAAGACGAAGATATTTGTCTATAATGGTTTTTGGGGGCTGCGTTTGGCGCCTCCAAGGAGTTCCGACGATTTCCACTGCGTCCCACGCGTTCGCGCACGCCGTTTCGGACGGGCCCCGCAGGGAACAGCACGTTCGTCATCTCTCACGGTCCCGGGCCCCGAAGAGGGCCCAAAAGACGAAGATGTTCTTCCATAATGGTTTTTTTGGCTGCGTTCGGCGCCTTCGGGGAGTTCCGACGATTTCCTATGCGTTCCATGCGTTTGCGCACGCCGTTTTCAAATGGTTCCCGCAGGGAACAGCGCGGTCGTCATCTCTCACGGCCCTGGGTCCCGAAGAGGGCCCAAAAGACGAAGATGCCCTTCCAGAATGGCTTCTTTTTTGGCTGCGTTCGGCGCCTCTGGGGAGTTCCGACGATCGCCGCCGCGCTCCACGCGTTTGCGCGCGCCGTTTTCTGACTGTTCCGCAGGGAACAGTAAGTTCGTCATCTCTCACGGCCCCGGGGCCCGAAAAGGGCCAGAGACAGAAGATGCGTTTCTATGATGTTTTCTTGGTTTCGTCAGGCATCGCTTTCAAACGCGACACGGAGGCCGTCGGGCCTCGGGCAGCGGATGGCGCACTACGCACTACGGCGCGCGGACATCGAGCAAGACGCACACCCACCGGGGCGTCTGCCACTCAGACACGCCGCCCTCGGTCCAGACCCACTGCTGCTGCTGCAACGTGCACCTGAATGTCACAACGGCAAGATGCTTCGCCGTGCGCTGCGTCTCCAAGTACTTGTCCAAGGCTTTCTGCACGCCCACGCTGACAGGCACGTCCGCGGAGAACCACTTGTGTTTTTTGTCCCGGGCCGCGTCCACGAGAGCCCCAACGGACTCCGAGGCGTCGAGCGACCACGCGACCACCGCCTTCGCCTTGGGCTCCCCGAACTTCGTCCAAGTCTTGGTTTCCTCGAACAGACCAACCCGGCGCTCCGCGGCGTTCTTCGTCGCCTCTTCCACAGCGCCGGGCGGCGCCGCGGCGGGGGCAACCCTCGGAGCGTTCCCGTCCCCTTTGCCCTTTGGCTGGCCCTTGCCGTTGCCCCAGAGCTTCCCCTTGCCCTTGCCGCAGACCCTCCCCTTGCCGTTGCCCTCCGGCTGCTTTGTGCTGTTGCCCTTGGAGCTTCCGGCAGCGTCAGGAGCTGCGTCAGGAGCCTCCTCCTCGAGGCTCGCCTTCGTCTCGGAGGCGGCGCGCTTGGCTGCCACCACGGGGCAGCTCAAGCGCAGCAGACGCTTGCGCTCGTTCTTGTTGGGTTGCGACATGGCCGCGACGCCGAAGCGTGGAGTCAGACAAACGTGGGCGCAGCCTCACTAGAGCCTGGCGCGGCAGCGGAGAACCCTCTTCATCCTCATTATCGTCGTCATCCTCGCCATCCGAAGGCACCCGAAGGGCACCCGAAAAGCATCCGCGGGACTCTCGGGCCCCTAGAGGAGCGGGAAGCACGGCGACGACGACAACGAGGAAGCCACGGAGCCACCCAAAGCCGAAAAGGATCCGCAGGGCACCCGAGAGGCACCCGTAAGCCACCTGATGGGCATCCGAAGGGCACCCGAAAAGCACCCGCAGGCACCCGAGACTACCCGAAGACATCCGAAAAGCGTCCGCGAAACTCTCGGGCCCCTGGAGGAACCGTCCTTTTCACGACCACGCTTGTCCCTGAACACCTCCCCACGTCCTCCGTCCTTCTCCTCCTTCCTTCCTTCCTCCTCTCTCCTGTTTCTGCTTCTCCCTCTCCTCCACCCCCCTGAGCGCACCCCTCACCCGCTTCGTAGTCTTACAAGCAGCTCCACCGCATGCCCCAGGCGACGCAGCCTCACAAGGGACCTCGCCTCGATTCGGTACACCCCTGACGAGGATCATGGCACACAGGGAGCCTCGCTTCGATTCGGTACACCCCTGACGAGGATCATGGCACACAGGGAGCTCCACCGAAGAAAACAGGGGCCGCGGTCACATGGAAGGCCCCGCTCGGAGCTGCACCAACAAGCCCCAAGGCCCGCGGCCACAGAGCGGCCGCCGACTCAGTTGAGCACGCACCTGACGGGCATCGTGGCCCCACAGGGAACTCGCCGCCAGCCACAAAGAAGGCCCCGCCGGGAGCTGCACCAACACGCCCAAAGGCCCGCGGACACAGAGCGGCCACCGACTCCGTTCGGCATACACCTGACAGGGATCGTGGCCCCACAGGGAACTCCAATGGAATCCCCTGGGCCCGCGGTCAGACAAAAGGCCCCGCCTCAATACGGCACTCCTTTCACGGGGACCGTATAGCAGCACAGCCTCGACACATAGCACAGCCTGGACACATAGCAGCGGAGGGATAAAGTAGAGAATAAAAGGACACTGCAGAATGTTGTCTTGTTCCCTGCGATCGTATTCACGAGCCGCCACCTTCCGGAACAGAAGGTTCAGGCGGGCAAGGAATGATTCCCGCCTCCATAAACAAACATGATCGACCCACGAACCCGGAAAGGAATATAGAAATGTAAGGTATTGCAACAGTTTAAAGACACCAGATTAGGCGACGGGCACATGCAATGCTGAATGTATCGATGATGATGATGATGATGATGATGATGTACTGTGCCGAGGGCTGTACTGTGCGACGCCATGCTGAACTGCGATGTGCCATGCCGCGATTGTGCTCTATATATATATATATATATATATAGCGTTGTGGATCAAGTCCTCCCTGGCATCCGAGTCCTCACCGAACTGATCTGGAGCGTAAGCTCGAGCTGCCTGAGCAGATGGTAGCTGCCCCAGAACTAATCGACAGAGAGAACATGCCAGGAGGACGCGCCGCGGAACGTCCCGAGGGACGCGCCAGGCGACGTGCCAGGGGACGTGCCATGGGGACGCACCGCGGGACGTGCCAAGGGGACGCGCTACGGAAGGTGCCAATGGACGTGCCGAGGGACGTGCCAGGGGACGCGCCGCGCGACGTGCCAGGTGGACTCGCCACGGAACGCGCCAAGGAACGTGCCAAGGTGCATAGTTGAGTGTATCGATCTTGATGTACCGTGCCGACGGCTGTGCTGTGCTGGGCCGTGCTGAACTGCGATGTGCCATGCCGCGATTGTGCTCTATATAGCGTTGTGGATCGAGTCCTCCCTGGCATCCGAGTCCTCACCGAACTGATCTGGATCGTAAGCTCGAGCTGCCTGAGCAGATGGTAGCTGCCCCAGAACTAATCGACAGAGGGAACATGCCAGGAGGACGCGCCGCGGAACGTCCCAAGGGACGCGCCAGGCGACGTGCCAGGGGACGTGCCATGGGCACGCACCGCGGGACGTGCCAAGGGGACGCGCTACGGAACGTGCCAATGGACGTGCACCGCGCGACGTGCCAGGGGGACTCGCCACGGGACGCTCCGCGGAACGTGCCAGGCAACATGCCAGGCTGCAATGCTAAGGGTATCGATATTGATGTACCGTGCCGAGGGCTGTGCTGTGCCTGGGCGACCTGGACACGTGAAAACACGCGTTTCGCTCAAGACGTTGTCAGCACATCCTCATGCTAGACATCCGCCTGGGCAACCTGGACACGTGCAAACAAGCGTCTCGCTCGAGACATCCTCAACAAATGCTCATGCTAGACATCCGCCTGGGCGACCTGGACACGTGAAAACAAGCCTCTGGTTCGAGACATCCTCAACAAATCCTCATGCTAGACATCTGTCTGGGCCACCTGGAGGCGTGAAACCAAGCGTCTCGCTCGAGACATCCTCAAGACCTGGGCACGTGAAAACAAGCAATCCACTTGAGAGATCCTCAGAATTCAGGTCCCCAGGAGAGGACAATCTATAACACAAAACAAGCGTCTCGCTCGAGACATCCTCAACACATTCTGAAAAAAACAAGCGTTTCGCTCGAGACATCCTCAAATTTTAATTCGCCAGCCCTACGCGACCTTATATTTATCGCAAAAGAAATTCGCCGGCCCTACAGCCGTCAAAACCGGGGGTAAACCTACTAAAAGAGAACCCTGGGCCTATGCCCTCTCCGGGAAAACAACGATCACACGGGCACTCGACAGCCGTGCACCAATACGGGCCAGCGGAATGAGGCGAAGCGATTAAATAAAATCAGAAAAAAGCCCCCGAAGGGCACCCGAAGGCACTCGAGGGCACCCGAAGGGCACCCGAAGAGGGCCTGGAAGAGCGGGAAACACGGCGACGACGGCCGCGAAGGAGCTCCGGGGCCGACCAAGGCCAAATAAAATCCGAAAAGGGCCCCCGAAAAGCACCCGAAGGGCACCCGAACGACAATGATGTTTCAGTATTTTGTTTCTGGTTGCATGTGGCGCCTCCAGAGACCTTCGAGCTTTTTCAAGTTGCGTTGCAGCTCGCTGCAATAAAGTATTTCCTACAATCCCACCAGCCCTTTAAGGCTACTGTGGTATAGCGAGTTTGTTATTCTCTCTTCCCCCCCCCTTCCCCTGCTCGGGGGAGGGGTTCACCCCTCCCCCAACCCCCCCCCCTGGACCTGGAGGGGGGGGGGGGACGGAGGCGCCGCAGCGTCCAAGATGGCTCAGGATGGCTCCAAGAGGCGCTCCAAGTCGCAAGATGGCCTCCAAGATGGCCCAAGGTACTCCAAGATGGGTCAAGATAGCCTCCGACATACCTCCAAGAGGCCCCAAGACAGCCCCAAGACGGATCCAAGTGCCCTGCGAGCCCTCCACGGCGCCCTCCAACACGCCAAAATCCTTCAAAAGCCTAGAGGAAATCAATGTTTTTGGCATTCTCGCCTTTTCGCGTCCGATGGGCCTCTGGGGCCTCAAGATGGCCCCAAGATAGCCCAAGAGAGCCCCAAGAGGGACCCAAGAAGGCCCAAGACGGCCCCAAGATCGCCCAGGAGGCGCCCAAGAACGCCCCATGAGAGCCCCAAGACGCCATTGTTGAGCCTCCGAGGGGGCGGCACTCATTGAGGGACCTCCTCTTTTTGAGCCATGGGGCCCAAGATGGCCCCAAGAAGCCTCCAAGCCTCTCCCAAAGAGCCTCCGCCCCGCCCTTTTTGGCCCAAGATGGCTCCAAGAGAGCCCCAGATAGCCTCAGATGGCCTTCAAAATTGCCTAAGATAGCCAAACATGGCTCAATATAGCCTCCGACAGCCCTCCAGGAGGCCTCAAGGCATCCTCAAGATGGCCCAAGATAGCCGAGCATGGCTCAAGATAGCCTCCGACAGCCTCTAGCCGAGCATGGCCCAAGATAGCCTCCAAGAGGCCTCAAGAAAACTGGCAAGCAAATATGGATGAGCTGGTGGGGATGTTCTTTTTTGGTCGGCGGCTCCAAGGCAAAGGTCAGGGAGCGGAAGCAGCGTCCGGAATGCGGCACGGAGCGAATTTGCGAACACAGCCGCCAAACTGGTGGGGATATTCGAAGCGTCAAGAATTTTACGCGCTGATGCCTCAGACGGCTCGATTTGTCGCCCCGGGGCATCTTTGTTACTCCGAGGGGCTCTTGACAACCAACTTTCTGGCCCCAGGGCTCCCCAGGCGCGTGCATCCGAGAAACACTAACGCAAATGCTATCATTGCATGATGCGTTGCGTACGTTGGGTCGTTGTCGCTCCCGGGGCCCCGTTTTTCATCCGAAGCCTCCGACCCCCCCCCCAACAAAAAACGCGGCAGTGGCCCCTTATCGCACACCAAAACTATGTGTTTGAGTGGTGATAAAAACGATAGGAATCAACTGAGTCGGCCGAGGATGGGCTACCCCCCCCGCCCGGACGCAAGGGGCTACCCCTGCGCCCGATTCGGCCGCCGATGGGTTACCACCGGCAGCCCGGAGACAAGGGGTTACCCCTGTTCCTGATTCGGCCGAGGATGGGTTACCACCCCCAGCCTGGACACAAGGGGCCACCCCTGCGCCCGATGAGTTGCCCGCTTCGGCCGAGGATGGGTTACCACCTCCGGCCCGGACGCAAGGGTTTCTCCCCAGCGCCCGATTCGGCCGACGATGGGTTACCACCGCCGGCCCGGACACAAGGGGCTACCCCTGCGCCCGATTCGGCCGCCGATGGGCTACCACCGGCGGCCTGGAGACAAGGGGTTACCCCTGCCCCCGATTCGGCCGAGGAGGTTACCACCCCCCGCCCGGACGCAAGGGGCTACCCCTGCGCCCGATTCGGCCGCCGATGGGTTACCACCGGCGGCCTGGGGACAAGGGGTTACCCCTGCCCCCGATTCGGCCGAGGATGGGCTACCACTCCCGGCCCGGACACAAGGGGTTATCCCTGCGCCCGGCCGCCGTCTCGTCGTCATCGTAAGAACTCTTCCTCCTCATTTGATGGGTCGAGCGAGTGGCCATCGAAAGAGCACAAAACTGGCCGCGCTCGGATTGGCCCGCGAGGGCTCACACCACGCTTCGTTCCTCAGGAGCCCAAGTGTGACGACAGCCACGAGATCCCGAAGACTCGCTCGCACTCGGAGCTGGAGCTGCGGGCCCCGCAGGGAGGAGGCTGGGGCTCCCGCCTGAGGCTTCCTCGCAATGCACTCACAGACGAAGCTCCCGCCTGAGACGTCCTCCATACTGAAGCTGGATGAGGCCAAAAGTGACGACAGTTACAAGACTCCGATGACCCGTTCGGATTACTAACATGAGCTGCGGGCCCCATAGGGAGGGGGCTCCCGCCTGAGACGTCCTCCATACTGAAGCTGGATGAAGCCAAAAGTGACGACGGTTAATTACAATATTCCGACGACCCGCTCGGATTACTAACATGAGCTGCGGGCCCCATAGGGAGGGGGCTCCCGCCTGAGACGTCCTCGCGATTCACTCAAAGACTAGACTCCCGCCTGAGATTCCTTCCACACAGTCGCTTAGAGTGACGACAGTAAATTACAGGAACTCGACGATCCGCTCGGATTTCTCACATGAGGTGTGGGCCCCATGATGAGATGCTGTGATGGGACGATGACGGTTATGATGATCATGACGGTCATGGTGAAGTCGGTACCCATCATGATTAGCTTAATCACCAACATTATCATCATCATCTTCGTTATCATAGTCGACAACATCATTAACATGACCAGCAGTATCAACTTCATCATCTTGACCATTGACAGCATGCTCGTCGTCGCCAACATCATCATCACCATCATCGACATCATCTTCATCATGTGCATCAACATAATCGTCGTTGGGATCGGATCGTCAGGTCCGGTGGGTCCGGTGGGTCCGGTGGGTCCGGTGGGTCTGGTGGGTCCGGTGGGTCCGGTGGGTCCGGTGGGTCCGGAGGGTCCGGTGGGTCCAGTGGGTCCGGTGGGTCCGGTGGGTCCGGTGGGTCTGGTGGGTCCAGTGGGTCCGGTGGGTCAGGTGGGTCCGGTGGGTCCGGTGGGTCCGGCGGGTCCGGCGGGTCCGGTGGGTCCGGTGGGTCCGGCGTGGTCCGGCGCAACCCCAGGGCGAACCATTCTGATCTTGGCCGGCGTCGGAGGTAGCATGTCGTCGCCCCAGGCGCGCAGAAGCGACGCGACCGTGCGTCGGTAAGCCTCCGCGACCCTGCCCGCAGACGCCGCGTAAACGTCGGCGGCGAGGCGGCGCGGCGCGTCGTCGCGAGCAGCCCGCGCACCGAAGTCGGCCGGATGGCCCCTCCGGTAAGAGGATCTGCCAGGGGCGTCCCGCCGCAGCGGGGGCAGTGCGCACTCGGCCGCTCGCTGCCCCTGCTGACCCGCGAAGCCGCTGCGCGGGGCGCCGCGGCGGCTGCGTGAACGGCGCCGCGGCGCTGTGGGCGCCGCTGCCTCCGCCGCCGGCGCCAGGCCGCAAGCCTCGGTTGACCCCCCCAAAAGCCAGAACAAGCCAAAGCGATCATCGCGGAACGCGAGGCGCCTGCGCGGCGGGCCGCGACTGAATGCCCGAGCACGCAGGCGCGGGCAAGGTTACACAGTGACCCGGCGGAACGGCCAGCCGTAGCAAACCGACGCGCTGGGTCTGACTGGATGCCGGAGCATGCCAACCGCGAGCAGGGCCTGGCGGAGAGGCTGGCCGTACTGGGCCGACGTGTCAGGCCCTCCCAGATGCCGGAGCAAGCTGGGTGCGCGCGAGGGTCCAGCGGAACGGCCGGGGGCCAACGGGCCGGGCCGAGGCCGGGCTGGATGCCGGAGCAAGCCAGACGCGGGCCAGGTGACCCAGCGGAACGGCCAGCCGTGGCGAGCCGACGTGCTGAGTCAGGCTGGATGCCGAAGCATGCCAGCCGCGCGCAGGGCCTGGCGGAACGGCTGGCCGTAGCGGGCCGACGTGCCAGGCCCGCACCCAGATGCCCGAGCAAGCTGGGCGCGCGCGAGGGTCCAGCCGAACGGCCGAAGGCTGACGTGCTGGGCCGAGGCCAAACAGGAGGCCCGAGCAGGCCAGACGCGGGCCAGGTGATCCAGCGGAACGGCCAGCCGCAGCGAACCGACGCGCTGGGTCAGGCTGCATGCCGGAGCATGCCAGCCGCACGCAGGGCCTGGCGGAACGGCTGGCCGTAGCGGGCCGACGTGCCAGGCCCGCGCCCAGATGCCAGAGCAAGCTGGGTGCGTGGGCAGGTCCAGCAAAACGGTTGGGGGCCGACGTTCCGGGCCGAGGCTGGGCAGGATGCTGGAGCAAGCCAGACGCGGGCCAGGTGATCCAGCGCGGAACGGCCAGCCGTAGCGAGCCGACGTGCTGGGTCTGACTGGATGCCGGAGCATGCCAGCCGCGCGCAGGGCCCGGCGGCACGGCTTGCCGCAGCGGGCCGACGTGCCAGGCCCTCCCAGATGCCGGAGCAAGCTGGGTGCGCGCGAGGGTCCAGCCGAGCGGCCGCGGGCCGACGTGCCTGGCCGAGGCTGGGCAGGATGCCGGAGCAAGCCAGACGCGGGCCAGGTGATCCAGCGGAACGGCCAGCCGCGGCGAGCCGACGTGCCGAGTCAGGCTGGATGCCGGAGCATGCCAGCCGCGCGCAGGGCCTGGTGGAACGGCTGGCCGTAGTTAGCGGGTCGACTCGTCGACGTGCCAGGCCCCTGCCCAAATGCCGGAGCAAGCTGGGTGCGCGCGAGGTTCCAGCGGAACGGCCGGGGGCCGACGTGCCGGGCAAGACCCGGACTGAATGCCAGAGCAAGCAAGACGCGGGCCAAGTGATCCAGCGGAACGGCCAGCCGCAGCGAGCCGACGTGCTGGATCAGGCTGGATGCCGGAGCATGCCAGCCGCGCGCAGGGCCCGGCGGCACGGCTTGCCGCAGCAGGCCGACGTGCCCGTCCCTCCCAGATGCCGGAGCAAGCGGGGTGCGCGCGAAGGCCCAGCGGAACGGCCGAGGGCCGACATGCCGGGCCGAGGCCGGGCAGGATGCCGGAGCCAGCCAGACGCGGGCCAGCTTTAGCGAGCCGACGTGCCAGCGTCGACGCCGACGGCGCTAGGGGAAGCACGTGCCACCCCCTTGCCGGCAGCATTGCCGCGCGCTTCGGCCCGGCGGGCGGGCGGGAGCGGGGCGGCCGCGCGGCCCCCCCTCCTCGCGCGGACCCGTTGGCGGCGACGCGCGCGAGGGAGCCATGCGCAAGCCTGGAAGGGCCAACGCGCGGCCGTCGGGCCTCCGGAGAGCCTCAGAACAACCTCCGAAAGGGCCCAGAGCGCCCGAAGCCCGCATGGGAGGCGGCGCAGGCAGGGAGCGGCACCGCACATGGCTGCTCAGGACGGCAGCCGCGGCCCCAAGGCTGGGAGGCCCCCAGCGGCGCCCAGGGAGGCCCAAACCGTCCACTTACAAACGCCCCATTTCAAATAAATGGTTCTCGACCTCTCCAGGCCCCTGGGATGGCTTCCCATGGCCACTCGCCACGGGGGCCGAGGCGCTCGGGGGCCGGGGCGCCCGGGGCCGGGGGCGCCCGGGGGTGCCCTGGAGGAACTGCGAAGGTAGCTCAGGGCCCGCCTCCCGGGCGCCACCCACATGAAAGCCCTCAAAACTCTAGTGGAACGGTGAACGCCTCGCGCGCGAACCGCTCGGCATTCCCCCGAGTGCTTTCTGTTCGCGAGGAGGCGCCGCGGGCAGCCACCACGTCAAAACACAACCCTCGGTTCATAGCAAAATCACGGCGCCCGCTGGCCCAGGGGCGCCCTCAGCGCCACGACGAGCTCAGGAACGCAAGGCGCGCCAACTCGCTCCGCCTCGGCGAGCTCCGCGGGAAGCTCGGGGCGGTCTGGCGCGGACAGCCGGGAGAGCGCGTCGGCGGACACGTTGTGCTCCGCCGGCATGCGCGAGACGACGCATTCCCACCGGCGCCGAGCACGCCGCCGGGCGATCTCGCGGGCGACGTGTTTGTGCACGCCCTTGCCGCGGAGGTCGAGGGCCCCCTCCCAACGCCGCGACGCTCCCCCGCGACGGCGAGGACCTCGGCGCGGAAAAAGTCGCCCCACACGCAGAGCACCAGCAGCACCGCGAAGTACTCCCAGAACGATCGGTGATTAGGGTCGCCCGCGCACACACCGCCCATGAGGTCGCAAACGTCGGACGCACACGCGACGGCAAAGCACTGCACCCGGGCGCCGCGCCGGCAGAGCGTCGCGCCGCCGCCCCACGGCGACGGATCGAACTTCACCGCAGCGTCGGCCTGCGGTGGACGCCCGGCGTCGACGCGAACGACGCGCCGGAGGGGGGGTAGGTCGAAGCCCTCGGGGCCAACGAGCGCCCGCATCCACTTCGCGGCATCGCCGAACCTGCGGCAGGCCCGGCGGCCAGGCGGCGCCTCGCGGCCCGCTGCTGCAGCCCCGCCGAGGGCACCCCACAGGGAGGCCGCAAACGGCGCCGCGTCGGGCACCACACATGCAACACGCGCGCACTCTCCGAAGACGCGGCGGGCCGCCGCCAGCGATGCGTGGCCAGTGCGAGCGGCGAAGGGCTCAAGGAGCTCAAAGGTCCGCCAGGAAACCCGGGGGCCAGAAGACGCGCACCTCGCCCGGCGCGCACGCGACGAACCTGGCCCCGACCCACTGATGCTCGCGCTCGTAGAGCGCCCCCTTTTCCACGCCAGCGGCGCCCCGAGAAGGAGCCACCACGTGAGCGCGAGGTCGATCGCCAGCTGCGCCGCTGCCGGCTCGCCTGTCGCAGCAAGGACTGGATCGCCATAGCACAGCTGCCGGCGGCCTGGGGCCGCGGCCGCGCGGCCCGCCTCGGACCGCGCGAACGGGCGGGGCCAGGCCTGCGCGGCGCGGGCGGCGAAAGACGCCACGCGCCCGAAAACGACGGGATTGGGCTCGCCGTCGAAACCCAGCACCCGCCAAACTACAAATCCACCCTCGCGCGCCTCCTGCCTGCGGGTAGACCGCCGGCCTGCGCCGCCTGAGCCCGTTGCCGACGCGGGCGCACTTGAACGGCCGTTCGCCCGGGCGCACGTGGGCCGACACGAGGGCGCCTGCGACGTCGAGCGCGAGCGCCCAGGTCACGTCGCCCGCCTGCGTCCGCGAGGAGAGCAGCGCGACGTCCAGGGCGTGGTCGATGATCGCAAGCAGGGCCTGGCGCCCCGCAAGGGTCACCGCCGAGTTCGCAAGATCGAGGACTTGGACAACGCGGCGCTCGGTCGTGCAATTGGGCTTCTCGCGGGAGATAATGCCAAGAGACGCGAGGAAGACGGGGGCGGAGTAATACGACTCTGCCGCCGCGCGGCCCCCGAAGAGAACCCCGAAGCCCTGGTCGACCAAACCTCGCACCTGCCCCACGCCCGGCGGCCGAACCTGCCCGCGCCGCTCGTGGAACGACGGGTGGTTCTCGAGGTCCACCGCGCGTTCGAGGAGCCCCGACGCGCCCAGCGACGCCTCGGAGACGGCCGCCGGGAAAAACCCGCCGGGCTGGACCTCCGGACTGACCCCCATCGGCGCGCCCTTCAGCAGCCAATCAGCCACGACATCGTCGTGGCCCTCGGACTGCCGCTGCACGGTGCGAACGAGCTCCGAGCGCCACGTGGAGGCGGCGCGGTGCTGTTCAGCCGGCGTGGCACTGATGCCCAGGAGCCCAGGAGCCCAGCGAGCTCGCGGCGCAGCGGACGCAGGCACGCCGCCGAAGGTGGCGAGCGAGCCAGCGCGACCCCGCACGCGCTCGCGAGCGCCTGGAGCTGGGGCCCTCTCTCGCGGCGCGCAGCGATCAGGTCCGCGACGGGGGCCATCGTGGGCACCAGAGACTGGGCCACTCGCGCCAGAGGCCCCCGGGGTTTCGGAGGCCCGCGCGACAGCTGGCGCCCTCGGCCCGCTTGACGCCCGCGGCGACCGCCTGGGACCCGCCGCGCAAGACGCGCCGAGGCACGCGGCCCGCCGCGGTCCTCTCCAGCAGAAGCACTGCTGGGTCCCCTGCGGGGCGCGGGCCCGCGCTGCGCGCGGCGGGCGGCTCGGCCAGCGGCGCGAGGAGAGCGCTCGGGCCCGGGGCGCCGCCCCCGCGGCCTCGGGCCCGCGCCCCCCGCAGTGCCGATCGCAGGCCCGATGGGGGCCGCCGCAGACGCGGCAAACGTGCTGGCGGCCCCACGTGCACGGGGCCTTGCAGCCGCCGGGCGCATTGTTTCAGAGGTCGCACACCTAGAAGCCTCCTAGATGGGGCCCGAGGAGCTCACCGCATCGCCGATGCATCGGCGATGCATCGCCGATGCATCGCCGATGCTCTGGCGATGCACCGGCGACGTCGGCGATGCATCGGCAACGCGGGCGCGAAGAAAATTTGGCCCCACATCGACCCGCATCGCCGATGCATCGGCGACGCGGCGCGATCCTCCGACCCCATCCTCTCCGACCCAATCTAGGAGGCCTAGAACAGCTCCGAGGCTTTGTTACGCGCGGGGCCAGAGCCCGAGCCAGGCCTTGCCTCGCTGCCCGCCTGCCGCCGCTGCCGCTGCTGCTGCGGCCGCGGCGGCGGGGGCGGCGCCTGCTGCTAGCCGCCCGACTAGCCGTTGTTCCGCGGGCCCCGCCGCCAGCCCACGGTGCCCTGAGGGGGGGCGCCGCCGAAGGGCCCCCAACCCTTCCAGACGGCACGCTTTCCAGCCGGTCCACGAGGGCGCCAGGCTGATTTCCCCCTCCGCCCTAATTCGTGCAGGGCGCGCCAACATGCGTCTACCAGCAGTGGCCCATCTGGTTGCTCGTGTTCGGGCCGCCGTAGGCTGAGGCGTCGATGAAGTTCGCCCACGCCTGCTCGTCGTCGGGGTTAACCGCGAGGTACTCCTCCAGGAGCGCGTCCCACTCTTCGGACCTGACCGCATCGTCGGCCCTGAAGATAACGCCCCAGTACGACGGGCACATGACGGGGAGCTGGCGGATGCCTTCCTCGTACGAGTCCAGCACCGCGGGGGGCGCGGCCCCCAGGGAGATCACGCACGTTCGGAAGACGAGCCAGGCCGACCGCCAAGCCTCGAAGTTCGACGGGCCCGTCAGCATCCTCGTCTCGAGGCGCCCGTCGACGAAGGCCTGCGCCTCGAACTTATTATCCTTGGCCTTCCTGCGGCCGAAAGGCCCGAACAACCAAAGTCGACGTAAGGCGAGGCCTTAGCCTTCAGCTGGGCCGCAAGCCCGGAGATTTGCTCGGCCGAAGGCCGGGCGTGGTGCGGCGGCGGCCCCCCCGTGACCTGGACGAACCTGCGGCGCGCCGCAGTGACGTCGTCCTTCGACAGGATGGGGAACGTGCCCTCCGCGCCCTGGTCGAGGATGTCCGAGAACCGTCGTTTGTCGCCCGGGGCCAACGAAGGCGCGGACCCGCCGTGCGAGGCCACGGAAGGTCGAAATGGAGCCGCCGCCGGCGCTGGGGCGCCCAAGTCTGGCGGCGGCAGCCCCGCCACGTCGAAGACGGACCGGACCGCCCGCACGGCGCGGCCGTGAACGATCCTCGACCTCGAGCTGGCTGAGCACCTCGATCAAGCGCTGCTCTGGGATGGCGACGAAGTCCGAGACGGAGGTGTCCACGTCACCGCCGACAGCATCCACCAACGCTGTGGCCAAGTCACCACCGAAGCCGAGCGTGTCGAAGATGGTGTGGAGCACGAGCCCCGTAGCGGCCGCTGGCGCGCCCCTCGGCACTGCCGCTGCCTTCGGTGTCGGCGCGCGGGGGGGGCCAGCCGCCAGGGGCGCCAGTGCTGGCGCCGCGTCGGCAAAGGCGGCGAAGTGCATGGCCGCAGACGCACCGCCTGTCGCAGAAGGGCCCCAGATGGACCGAGAGGGACACAGCGAGAGTCACGCGTCCGCGCCAGAGCCAAAATGGCCGCGGACGGTGCAGGGCGTGGATCTGCACCCGCCGCATGGTGCCCAAAGTGCCCCTCGCATTCAACAGAATGCCCATATCATCAGCAGCAGCATCATCCCCAGCATCATCAAACACCATCATTAACAGCATCATAATCATCATAATCATCAGCATCATCAGCATCTTCATCCTCATCCTCATCCTCATTATCATCATCCTTACCCCCATCCTCATCCTCATTCCCCTCCCTCCTCATCCTCCTCCTCATCATCCTCCTCATCATCCCCCTCCTCCTCTGCCTCCTCCTTCTCTTCCTCCTCCTCCTCCTCCACCTCCTCTTCCTCCTCCTCCTCCTCCTCCTCCTCCTCATCCTCATCCTTCCTCTCATTCCCCTACTCCTCCTCCTCCTCCTCCTCCTCCTTCTCCTCCTCCTCACTCCTCCTCCTCCTCCTCCTCTCCTCCTCCTCCTGCTCCTGCCCCTCCTCCTCCTCCGCCTCCTCCTGCTCCTCCTCCTCCTCCGCCTCCTCCCTCCTCCTCCGCTTCTTAGTATCATTATTATTATTATTCTTCTTATTATTATTATTCCTCTTCTTATTATTATTCTTATTATTCTTATTATCATTATTAATAGTATTCCTCTTCGTTTTCTTCTCATCATGACTATTGTGCTTCTTCTTCTTCTTCTTCCTCCTC